ACATTAATTTAACTGTCAAGGTAGCAACTGCTCTGAAGAGATTGAACCTAGGTGCAAATTTTCAATTTTAACAGCTGAAGTGAAATCAAACCCCATTTTAAAAATCACATCTTCGAAACATATTACAGCAGCAGTAGATTTTTCCAGAGTGGTATTGAATAATTAAAGGAATTTGGCTTTATTCAGTCCTGACATATCCAAAGGAGATGTATTTCTTTTAACCAGTTAAATTTAGAAAGGACACAAAATTCTAACTGACAAAAATAAAAGCAACCCTGAAAAGTGAGAAAAACAGTTAGAGAGAACACATAAGCTTTGTTAAATTATACCTAAATACAAAATGTACCTAAAACCAAAGTTGAACACACCATGTTTATATGAAAACAATTGAGAAAGAACCAGAAAGAATGAAAATAGACAAGTGCAGCTTCTAAGTGTACTAGTATAGATGCACAAGTTGCTATGCAAAGACTAAGCAAAAGGCTCTTGCCACTGGATTACAGAAAACTGGAGGAAGGGCAATTCCTTTTGGAGGAAACTCACGGTTACTAGGAGAAGACACAGGAGAAAGTAAAGAGGCACAACAGTTACAAAAGCAACAGAATAAGATCAAGATATGACTTCAGGGAGGAAGTTAAAAACAGTCCATTAAATTCATGGTTTGGTTAGAGGGAAGACCAGATTTAATCCCCTGTAATTTTCAACTGGACCTAGCAGCTTGAAAGAGTAATATGAAGTAAAGAGGGAGAAAAAGCAGTGGTGTCTCACAGAAACAGATACAGGACAAGAGGACAGAAATGCACAAAACGTTCCAACACTTACTTGGCCACCTATTTATAGATGGGTATAATTTCTGAATGCAAAAGTCTAAGTATTAAGAAGTGATGCCTCCAAAAGTTGGAAGAGCTGGCTGGCATCAATGAGAATACCTGAAACTAGAAAGCTAGAAGACAAAAAATAGTTGACAAGAATACTCAAATCCCTAGAGCTTCAACCTGACAAAACCCAAAGGGACATAGGTCATCTCACCTTCAGACAATTTCAGGCCACACGCCAATGAGAAAAAGGTTCATGGACAAGAAATAGCTCTTTTGATAAACCCCATTTAAGAACAGCCATTTCACAGGGCAAACAGTGATTCTAAATGGTTTCCAGTGAATAGCCTGGAGAAAAGGAATAGGCAAGGACAGATCTGTCCTGTCTCATTGTTTAAGGACATATATTTGATGGCACTGCAGCCATGTAATGGTGCGAGACTTGTTCTTCACTTCATTTCCCCTGTAGAGCCAGTGCCCAAGAACAAAATGGCACTTTTCCTTGCACATCAGCTGAGGAAGATGTACACCCCTCAGGCTCTTACTAGCCACAAGATGAGGCTGCACATGAGTCACTTACTAACAAACAATACCTCCATCATTACCAAAACTCACAGGGGCAACAGGAACTTTTGGAGGAGCAAAAATTACCTTGCACAAAAAATTTGTTTAGTGTGCAAATTCATGATGCTGACTGACTGGACCATAGTCCGGAAGAGCTTGGAAGAGCAGCTGACAGACTTTTGCAGCTGCTACAATATTTAGATCACATGAAAAGAAGATATTCTACAAGCAATTTACTTAGACAAAAAGATGCAAGCTCCTTCTGATCCTATCACAAAGGGCAGCATGAACATTTACGAGCGTGCAAAACATACCTGTTCCTATTTCCCATCCTTACTGGTCAGAAAGTCCACACCTGGATTTAGGAAGAGGAGCTCTAGGGATTCAGATTTGTTTTGCAAGAAACCGTTTTTCCAGATTCTTCATTTCTTTAGGGGTTGATGCAGATCCCACTGACACACACCTACCTGTCCACACCTCTGTTTAAGTTTCAGGCACAACAAAAAGCTACTTTTCAAAACTGGTCTTTGTTTAGAACTACTGATAGTGATCTATTCCCTGACAACTGCTCCTCAGCTTCCTTATGACTTTGAGAGTCACTTCTGGCAAATTGGTGTGGTTTAAACACCTCTTATTTGTTTATCATCTTCTCCATTTCACCAAATTCAAATGGATTAACCTCAATGACAAAGAGGTGCCACAAAAAAGCAACACACACACATATAAAGCAACAATTGCACCATGAAGAAAAAGATTCAGACCACAATAGAAGTAAACTAGTGATGAACAAGTTTCAGAGCTTGCAGGTCTTTTGCTATTTACTGAAAATCTATTGTATAAGCTACCAAGCAAGAAAAATAGCAAAGAGATTTAATAAAAAGCATTACTGTTGAAATCTGTACTTCCTGTATGTTGGAGTGGACATAAAAACAACATTCCTTACCTTGATAAATGAATAATACTTATTACAAATCTCTCTCAAGGATTTAAAAAGGCTTACAAAGGTCATTACACTTGATCAGAAAACAAAGCTTTCTGTATACATATTTGCTTATGCTTGCTGCAACAACAGCTTATTTTCTTTCACATGCATGCTGTACAATACTTTAAAAGCTTTAATCTGAATCAGTAGCAAACATTTCTAGATACACAGACATGCATATATAAATATATACATATAATCTGCAAACCTTGTAAGTGTTTAGGCTCCATTTTCTCACCAATTCCAACTTCTCCATTGCTGGATTCTTTACTTCATCTGCTAATACAACAGGTCCACTCTTCTGCTGAGTTCTGCCCCCTGTGTCAGACACAAAGCAAGTCTTCAAGACTTTCTTTTTTTGTATTTAAGTATATGTGGAAGATTTGTGCAAGTGTACATGCAAAAAGCAGAAGAGTCCTAGTAGCAATTAATATGAATATGAAAATTTTCAAAAATCAACTTAAGAAATAGACATCAATTATTTTACAGCTGATACCAAGTGCGCTGACATACTGATACTTTCACATAGTAATGGGCTGAATAACAAGGCTTACCTGAACATGTGGAGTTTTTACTAACGGACCTTAAAGTTTGAGATATATTTATTACTTAATCTGGGTTTTAAGAGTCTGACAGTCAAACATCCTCTCTGATTTAGCCAGTTTAAGAGTCTTTTTACATCCTGTATACCATTAAATGCAGCATTATCAGCATCTACAAGTTAGAGTAGAGCTCATACAAAACTTCAGAAAATTGTTATCCTTTCCAATAAAACTTATGCTTTCTAGAAAAAGATATTCAGCCATCATTACCAAAAGTTCAGCTCATTTATGCATTTCAACCTTATTGCCTCATTATATGAGGGCTAATTAATTCTATAAACCACCAGTGTAAAAGGGCAATAAAGAAACTATTGCAAGGAACAACTTGAAATATCTAGAGTCACTCAGCACTTACTCACTGCCAATACAGAGCAAGTATCCAAGCTAGTAGGCTATGCTGCACAGATTCTAACTTCTTGTTTTGAAAAATAATTCGTAGCGTTCCAAACACCAAGACTGGCAAAGCATTACACCTTTTTCTTTAAGCAATATTTTAATGTGCACAATTTCAACGCCTCCTGCTTCTCATGTTTTGAATAATTCAGCCTGTTAAAGTCACCTTAGCCTTTCCAGACTATTTATGGAAATAAGGGCTTGGAGGAGAAAAAAGAAAAAAGTGTTCAGATGCCTCAAGATACTCCTTTATGATGGAGCTCTACTAAGTGCTTTACTTCTTCAAAATGCTGCGCAAACATTAAGTAATTAATCCTCTCAACACCTTTATGAGGTAAGTGAATAACTTTTCTCCTTTTACATAGGAGGAAACAAAGATGTTAAGTAATTTGCCCATGGGCGCAGAATGAGTCAGTGGCAAGGCCTAGTTTGGGTGTTGTGAATTCCTAATTCCTAAGCTCATATTCTGTTCTGCTGGAATATGTGACCACTTTGGCAAAAAGAATGGCAGAAGTTTTGGCTTTAACCTAAATAAGGCATTTCTGTTACTTCCTTATTTCGGCTACTGTTTGTTAGTATTAAGATTTGGTAGATTAGTTTTAATGCTGTAGAATAAGCAGCAGCAGATAGAAAGGAATACAGCCATTACTCTGTAAACTGCAAAAGCCCAGAAGTGAGAACCACCATAACAATCCAGAAAAATCTATTTCCAAATAAGAACAAATCAAAGTAGCAGAAGTGTGGAGGAAGGAGTTAGTCTCTGCTGACAGTGTACAAGGGCGTTATCTGTTCAGTGCTGCGATACCTGTGGGAATAATTAAATCACAACCTTGTCCAGCCAGTCTGCTAGCTGCTGCATTGCTAGGAGATATAACTGATGATTTGGGTGATGCTGAGGAACCTGAAACGGGGACACATTTAGCCATGAAAATTCATTATCTTCCATTAAAAGGCAAAGTGCACTTTCACACAGTTTTTTCAAAGATTCTCTTCACCAGCAAACAGAAGCATTTATGAAAAAAGTCACTAGAATTTCTGATGGAAACACTTTTTAAAAGGTGCAGCTGTTCATGTGAACTGCTCCAAGTTCTCTTGACTTAATCTTTTTAAGTCATGATGCCAAACTTTTTATTACTCTTACAACAAGCAAGCAAGCAAAAAAAAAAAAGAAAAGCAGCTTCATCAGAAAAGCATGAACTGTAGAAAATTCCATATAAATATTCCATATAGCTGCTTCAACTGGAACCTGATTTTTCAGTCGTAGTTAAATTTCATTCTGCACTGTCACTGAATGGCATCTACAACATTAAGCAATAAATTAAGCTCTGAAATCCAACTTGAGATATATGTGATTAATGTCTACTCCTAAATGTGTATACAAAAAGCACAGCAACAGCCTATATTGAAGATTGAGACCCTTCAGAAGTTAAGATTTGTTATTTTCTTTCCAAAAGATATATCAAATGCAAAGCAATAATCTTAGAAAATTTTATTTCAATTCAGGTTAAAAAATAGCTTTTTCCCTTTGTGATAAGTAGTCATCTTATTCAAAAGGCTTTTATTTTTTTCTTGCTGAGAAAGTCTGCAATTCATCAAGGCTGACAGTGTGCCATTAGGAAACAAACGGAACACTATTCATCAGCCACTTCCACAAAACTTTGTTATCAGTAACACCAAGAATGTTCCTTGAAGCAAAGGCAACCACCTTCTGCCTTTAAAACATCTTGCAGAGTACTAGAAAAGTGGGGCACATGAATCCAGTGTGCAACAGCAAAGCATTTGAACATCACACAGAAAGAAGAGGCAGAAGACAATTAACTTGCTCCGTCCTGTCATAGTGACAGTTACATAAGAGTTGAAACTGGATTCATCCTGGCACAGAAGTTTAGCAGGAGGCTGCTAAAGGCCTAAGAGGCTGAACAGCTTCAACAAGTGAGCTAAGATAAGCAGTTAAAGAAAATAAAAAAAGTCCTTATCGTTTGAAACAGTATTAATGCAGCCTTATGCACACTTCATTATTCAACACTCCCAGGCTGAGGAAACCCTTCCTTTTCCCTTCCAATTTTCTGTCCACTCTGCATTCCGAAACTGAGTTCTAATAAGAAAACGGAAACAGAAAATAGAGAGTTTTTTATTATTATTTATTACTATTAGAGCTCTCATTCTCTTTTTGTCTGCAGTTTTATAAAAAGATCGAGCTTCTAGAGCTTCTCTCCATTTTGGCTACAAGATTAGAAATAATTCAAAAGTAAATAAGAAAGTATCCTTGTAAGGAAGCCAGCATAGTGGAAGAGTTGAAGTTGTACATTCAATGCCTTTTTTTTTTTCTTCTTCTCTTAAAGACTAAATGCACCTAACACAGCTGCAGAGCCACATTGCAAATCGAATGCAGAAAGGCTGGCATGGTGAGCTGTTTTCCATCTGCCCAGTTTTTTAGCTAGCTATATTGCTAGCTATATTTCGAAGACTTATGGTAGAAAACAGGTATTAGCTTTGTAATATATGTAAAATACAGCATGTTAATCATTGTTTTTATAGGCATGACACTGTACAAAACAGGAAATGAAGCAAAATGTAAATTAAGTATCTGACCACAAAGACACTCATTTTCACAGCAGCTCATTTGAGATCTTTGCAAACCTTCCAAATTCCTGATTTTGTCTAGAAGAAACAATCAACATAATGGCTTATGAAAACCTCACTTGCACATCCTATATTGTGACACTCCATTTTAAGAGAGAGGGTATACATTGATATTACCAACTTTATTATCACTTTGTATTTCTCAATGTTTAAATCAGCTTGTAGTCTTCTAAAAAAGATATTCCGAAGACTTGCACTGCATATTAAATATTGACTAAAGTCCTCCTGCTACAAGTAGTTGAAACTCCGTGCTCATTAAGATATGAGAACAGACCTATTTTCATTATATAGTAGGTAAAGCATAATCATGCCCCACAAAATACATATACAGCACAATAAAAAAGGAGAAACAAGTTTCAGGGGCAACAAAGGTGAATTTCACTAATTTAATCTGTTTCCGCTAAGTGAACTGTGTATCATGAAAGCAGTCTCTCCAGTTATACTTTTCAGAATAATAGCTGCAATTTATGTATCCACATGGAAACAATTTTTAATGTAAGTGACCATGAAATATTTCATTATGAAATGATTTCAAGAGGTTCAAGGTAAAGAGTTTCTTTCCTGCAAATGAAGATCAATTTAATATTGCTAACATGAATACTTTTCACTAATCTCGACAGCTACAAATGCAGTATCTACTTTAATGTCAAAGAGGATGAATACATTTGTAAATGCACACCTTTCTGCATTAACACCAAAATGCTCAAAGCAGCTACATAGTTTTATTCTTGACTATGTAAAAAATGTCTACAGAGATTACTTTAAAAAATAACCAAGCAAATACCTTTACCTGGAAATGGCCCTGCCTCAACAACTCCCTCTTTGGTGCCATCAAAGCCATGAGATGTTATTTTGGTTTCAGAGAGTCCAAGTCCAGCTGGTAATGAGCGCTTCAAGTCCTTAGAAATAGTTGAAAAAAAGGGAAGATTCATGTTAAAAAAAAATAAACAAAAAAAACAAAACAAAAGACAAAAAACACAAAAGTGACTCTTGGGTATTACAGTGTAATTTCAGCAGCTCTCAAAGGTAGTTCAGCCTTTAGCCTGGAATGTTCCTTATGGTGTCACAGGATTCTATTGCGATGCACGAATAACAAACACTTATCACCGTGAAACATTAAGTTCACTTCTTTATTTGTTGTAGGAATACACTGCTGTGTTAATTAAATATGCTCTTCTTCCCCTCAATGTACTCACACTGCTTACCAACCAAGTGGCCAACAACAGCATGATCAAGGCAATCATATCAGTTTAATGTCTCCAGTTAAAACACCACAGGTACAAAATCACTTGTGTTAAGAATAAAAGCAGCCAACATTTTACAGTCTCAAAATATTAAGGACAAGGAGTTCTTTCACTCCTTACACAAGAAATAGCTTTACAATTTGCAGCATCGTTTACAGTGTTATTTGACAAGGGAGAAGCATCCAGACAGGCAATGCTTCATCACAAGTGCTCTTTGAAATAATCTTGCTTTTTACAGCTAGATTTACTAGTATGTCTAACTTTACAAAATCAAAGCCTTCACGAGAAACCAGCATAGATTATTACTGACTATGAATTTACATACTGCATGGCACATTATTGTCATCAGTCTCCTCTATAACTAGATTTCAGAAAGACATTAGAGTTAAGTTTACAATTTTTCTATTCAAGCATATAGTTCTAGCATTATGAATTAGGCACACATGGTGAATTAAAAAGTGTATTTAGTACTTTTTTAAAGAGCAGTTTAAAAACATTAATTCTTAAACTAAGGCGGCAGCAAAAAACTCCTAGGGAAATGAAAGGAAAAAGGTAAAATACATTTACAAAGACTAAAGATTGTGGGTTAGGAATTGGAAAACTAGCAGGCCATACACTTAGGTACTCGTTCACATCCCCTCTGCTTCTATCCAGACAAGAAAAACCATTAAAGCTTAGATGGGCAATAGAGATATTTTAAAGCTAAATATTGATTTTCTCTGAATGTGTCTATGCCTGGACCTATGCTGTAACTATTTAATAGATGCAAGAATGCTTGCATTTTAACAATAAAATACAATCTCTGCTACTGAATACATGTTTGACATATTAGTGTAGCCACTCAATCCACAAACCAAAAGCAAGCTAGTGCACAAGGAGGACAGTGCCTAGAGGCTCAAGCTATCAAAAAGTGGCTTCAGATCATGTGCCCACAAATTATACTCTTAAATTTAAGACAACTTCCAGGAGGAGTAAAAAGAAAAAGCTACAAACCTATAAATCCAAGTATATAACAACTTGAGAAGTTATTCTGATCACAGTAACCAATTTGCCACACTGTCACATCACATGAACTTAATAAATTAAACTATATGTTTCTGAAGCATTATACCAAAAGAGGACAGTCCATTTAATTCAACGACAGCAACAAGGTTGCACTGGATTGCAAAAGGATAAACAGATAAACAGATGGCTAAGAACTGATTTTTACAGAAAGGATATGACATGATTTTTGCCCTCCTTGAAGGCACCTTGGCACAATTTTCAAAAATATTTGAATCAGAAGCTAAAGAAACGTAGACAACTAACCTGCCAAAGCACATCTGAACTAAGAATCTAAGCATCATCTGTATTTAAGGTTAAAATGCAGAACATGTTTCCCAAATAAAGTTTTGGTACAAGTTCTTAGTACTAGCAATTGTACTACCTCTGTACATTCAACTTAACTGTACTTGCTTGTAATGCAGCCAAACACTGAACACAATGCAGAGTTAAAGAAATTATTCAAAATATTGCAACATAACCCTCTTAAATAAAAACTGATGATCAAATCATGAAAATGCATTATTACAAATACACATATGTTCAAAGATATCTGTAGTTTTTTCACTGGCAAAAAGGCACTACTGAAGTGAAGAAGAATTGCAGTCAAGCATCTTTTTAACACCTATATTAATGAACTGAAACATACTTTTGTAAAGAGTCTTGTATAAAAATTTTTAAAAAGATTGTTTGCTGATTTATACCATGACTACAATTGTGACCGAAAAGCCAGTGATCATCAGGCCACTACCTCTTTTGTTGTCTATTAACACAAAAGATACCATTCAGTGGAGACATATTTCTGAAGGCAAATCTTAGTTTGGGGAATGTCATTCTTGCAGCTGATTGCACTTTATTACAAGCACAGCTAAACAAAAAGGCCACACAACAATCTGTAGTAATTCTGAAAGAAATTTGTTACTTCTACAAGGAAAGACAACCTGGAAACAGCCTTAAAGTAGGGTACAGAACAAACGTGCCAGTAACTTCCCATTTAAGAGAGCGTATGGCACTAGTGAGGGAGATTCCCAAGTGGCAAGCACATCAACAGCTTTCACTTTCGTTCCACCAAAACATAAGCTTGCTATTACAACACAAGGAAGTGAGGTCAAAGTCCCCTGCTGCAACAGGGTGATTCCACTTCAACTAGTTATGGCTACAGCTATCTGCAGGTATGATACGATCTGCTTTCAAATTTAAGTGACTTCCACTCCCTCTCCCTCTTTATAATAGGGACATCACATTGTTAAAATTCCTACAAATGGGTTCATCTCAAAACCAATTTCTTAAGAAATTAACCCTACTTCAAAAAAAGAAAAAAAAACCCTAGTTTAAATAAGAATATTTCACTCACCGCCTGCAATTGTATGAGAGGGAAAAGGCCGCTTGCTTATGCCCCTACCTCTGATGGTCAGAGAGAATCCAGCCTGAGCACAGCAGCCGAGCTGCTCTAACCCTGTAACTTCACTGAGGTTACAGGCACAGACCTAGCACAGAGCTAGCTGGGCAAGAACTGAAAGTCAGAAGGCCCCTGTGAATCCAAAAGATCTAACTAGTCACCCCATTTGGACAGAAATGCTCAAAGAAGAAAAAAGGAAAGAGTACATAGTTATTTAGTCTATAGCACAAAACTATGTGGCATAGGGTATTTAAGTCACTTTAGTTTTGTTATAATTGCATTTTAACTTAGTGTAAATTATTACATTAAGCTAAACATTTCAGAAAGTTTCATCTGCTTTAAGTGCTAAATAACAGGGCTATTAAACAATTCATTGCAAAGATTATCTAGCTGACATACCACTGGCAGCCTGAGCAACCCCATCCCTGCTGTTCACGCTAATCTAACATGAAGAGGGGAAGTTATCAAAAGTGCATTTTTAATGAAATCATTCAAGTTATGCTTGGGAAAAAAATGCAACACATTTTAAAGTTCACCCAGACTATGAGTCCCATGAAACAAAATGGGATGAGCAGATCAAACGTCTACCTGTTAACACACCTGGCTCTTAACCATCATTTAGATCCTGAATTGACATCATCTTATCCTAAAATCGACATGCAAGCGAAACTCCCTGTCTTCATGCTGCATTTTCCTTGCTCCTTCCTTTCCAGCTCTGCCTCCTCACTTAACTCTTACTCCCATGAATTAACCCACTACAATTAATCTCTGAATTAATACAAAGTTATGCCCCCATCCTATTTATTTTTGCACTTACACTTTATGATGAAGTGATAAACATGGATTGATACATTTCTCCTACTTGCTCTGCCAGCATGTCACTCAGAAGACGCTTTATTCTAGTGCTCCCCTCTCGGCTGACTTCATGTCATACTACAGTCTACTTGTTAACAATGAGGTGAACAGAAAAAATAACATCCATAATTTTTTGCTGAGATTGAATGAAGCAAACCACCTGACCAGTTTAGCCTGCCTGTTTGTTGCTATTTTCTTTCCATATCCTAAAAACAAATGGTTCTCCCCATCAGACATCCAGAGAAGTGCTATAAATTAGGCTGCATCAAATAAAGTATAATTGCTCAAATTCAAATCTAGCTATGCAAGTTGCCAAAGCAAAGCCCAAGAGAGAGGAACTCAGAAATTTCAAGTAAAATGTGGAAGACAACATTGGATACTTTCATAGGAAAGTAAAAGAAAAAAAAACATATTGATCTTACCTATTTATGGAGTCTGTTATCCCTGACAAAACTACAACACAAGATACTGAATATTTTGATTCAACAGATCCCAAAGCTTTTTCGATTTAACATGACATAATAAAGGCTCATAGTGAATCTCATCATTTTGTGCAGACTCAAAGTTTATTACCAGAATTATACAAAGAAATTTATACAAATGTTTTTGTCTCTAAGACTTAAGACTACAAGAAGAACCAGAAGAGTCTACATTGCAACTCAAGGGAAATAAATGTAATTGAGGATTTCAGAGATGCAGCCATAAGAATTCCATACTGTTTTTTGTACAAAGTTTAGCACATAACAAGTAGCTTTATAGTTGCCTGAATACTTTCACAAGCACACCCAGAAAACTGTTTTTAAAAAAAAGCAACAAATAATTTTTTTCCTGAACAGATTTAGCAATATAGAAGAAGCATTACTGAAAGAGGAATAGTAAACTGATACTCTCCTCCTCCCAATCCTAAACTCCCTATCCCTTTGGGGAGAAAAAAAACAAAACAAAAAAGCAGAGAGTGGAACAAGTGAAATGTCTCAGTGAAGCATGTAACCAGTGGAGTTCTCGTCTGGTGAGTTTTCTTATACAACTAAAGAGAAATGTTTGATGAAAAAAATGAGGGAATTCTCCATTAGCATAGACTGACAAGCATCCAGATCTTAGCAGAATTTTCTTAAACAACAAATTTTAAAGCTTAATCAAGTTCCATCAGTGCTTAGAGAGCTGTAAGGCTCTGAGAGTCAAGCTTTTTCCACAAAAAAGGACATTAAACATTTCATCCAATGACAACTGGATTGAAGCTACAATCCTTATTAGTTAAAAAAAATCACATGGGCAGGACACAACCTGTCAAAATTCCTTAGGTATCTCTTAGCATTACAAGTGGGACAGAGGGAGAACATAGCTGCACATTTCAGAACAAGATTTTACTGCTGAACAAATGCTTAAGTAGCCTTAAATATTGTTGTAATTACTTTTTTTCTTAATATAAGGAACCAACAATATACTGAAAATAGATTAACTCAATTTTTGTGGGAATATGATGTAACTTAATGTTTCTGAAATGGCATTATAGCAATCTTTTCTGATGTTGCATACTTAAACACATTTTTCTACAAGGAATTGGCAACCTTACCTTTGTCTGAAAAGAGCAAGTATTTGCACTATATTGTTTTTTAAAATTAAATACTTCTTATACACTAGTACATAGAAATAAAATATAAATGAACATTTGAAAATAAATGAAATGAAAATTCTCACACCTGAACTGTTTATGGTTATAGTTAGAGTCTGAGGCTAATACTACAAAGGATATGAGTTTAAAGTTCGGTTTTGTAATTAAACAACCCAAAAAGAAAGTTGTACAACTACATTTTTACTCAGTCTATCCAAAACAGAGTCAAGGTTGCTCAAGTACTCATGAAAAATAATTCTACATGATCAAAGACACAGGACAAATCATGTTTTTTGTTTACATCTTAATTATATAAAAACTAGATGAACAGATTCCTGATCATAACACTATTAAGAAACTAAAATTATCTTATGCCCCAGCTCCCCTAAAAGCATAACTGAAAACTGGCAGTTGGGTGGACCAAAAGCTGTGGTCACAGACTGTAACTGAGCACTGTGGTAAGAGTGCAATTTAAAGCGGTAAGCTGATAGGATCCTTCCACTCCCACCCTAAGAGTTTGGCATAAAAATTTTGTAGTACAATGCATGTTCCTTTAGGTTAAAAAAATGTTAGCAAAAATACTGGCAAAGAAAAAGAGAAAGTAGAGCTTAAGTACTAAAAAACAAACATGAAGCAAGATGAATACGGTAATATTACAATTTGAGATTAACATATTAGTAAACAGATCTAGACATTACTTCCAAAATAGTTCGCTTGTTTATAAAAACCCCTATTAACACATTGTGAGTTTAGGTCATACATGCAAGTGTAAACTTGTACAAGACTGTTACAAGTATTTGAAGTGCATTTAGTCTTTATTGGCTCTAGAATAAATATCATTAAAAGAACTTACAGCTGCAATCTCAGGTAATGTGAACATAGAATCCATTTTAGGCAATATGACCAAAATATTTGGCCCATTTTTATATTTAGTGGAAGTTGCTATACTAATTATTTTGCTGACTTGAAGTTAATTATATTTTGCAAATACTTACCTCAAATTTTATATGTGGTTAAAGACAAATACTACTTGAGGTTAACACTTCAGCTCTCCACAGCCTGAATGATGGCTCTGACCAAACCAACAAGAGTGCAAGGTCCATTTATTATGGCTACTAATCATGACCTGGACACACATACACTGTGTGAGCAATCATTATGTAAAGGAAAAAGAATTACACACAGTAGTCAAGTCTTTGCAGCATCAAAAGCATCAGACTTGGAAAAAAGTTAGCCTGCTTTTCAACTTCCAGGTAAACCCAAATTCATTCACTTTGAGATACATTATTCCACCTAAACATAATTCTATCTTTATCAAAGTTTAGTTTGAACTTTAATTTATTATACAGCAGTCTAATTCTTACTCTTCTATTACTGAAAGACCTATCCAGCAACAAATCTAAAGAAACATGAGCTTTTCCCTCAGTGCAGTGTGCTTTCAAAACACATATGCGCAAACACCATTCAGTAGGAATATAGTGCCCAGTAACAAGAACAGTATTTCTTTAATATGAGCTCTAGCATGGATGTATTTCAGTCTCATGAAGTTTTATCCTGTTTTGCTGCCACACTCACTATATAGCTCCTCCCTCCAAGTCAAATAGTGTCAGACGATGTTTTCAGCATACTGCACATAATTGCCTTTAACATATGGATTTTTTTTCCTCCATTCAGTATTTCAGTCGGAAAGCACGAAGTTTTCATTTGAAGATCTGTTCGGTGTTTCACAAATAACACCACACTGCAAGCACCTTCAACGCTTGCACACTGCAAGCACAGAAACGTTAAACATTATAGATTTCCTCAAAATCTAACTTCACCAGATGCCAAATAAATATGGGAAATTAATTAGCCTTTATGTTTCCAACCATGGGGAAAACAAAAGCATGTTTTTTTTTTGGGGGGAAGGTCAGAACAACAGCAACTACCACATACACAAAAAACTCAAACACTCCAATTCTGTAAAGTTATACTATAGCACACTCTGCTGGACACAACACAGTCAAACACAAGGCAGGCTGATAATAAAAGACATCCAAGAGTGAAGAGAGAAGTGCATACAAGTCATTACATAACTTTTTCAATATATTAAAAATATAATACATTTTGATATAGACTATCTATACAGCATACAATAGAACAGCAGTAATCCCTCAATTTCAACACAAGAAGAGTAACTGCATTTGTGTTTTCCAAAAATCCCAAACATGCTGTCTTCAAAGCTCACACCATCAGAAGTGGCTTGCTTTTTGCAATCCGATACTTCCAATAAAAAGTTATTTGCAGGATTTTGACGTCTGAATTTATAGGACCTGCACAGTCCCATGTTTGAAATGAATAAAATCATCGGATTTCAAATAGTACATCCTCAATGCTTAAAGTGTGTAGGTTCTGACAGCATTAACTGTGCATTACAGAGGACACTGTGTGCATTATTGCACATCTAGAAAAGTTTCCCAGTACTAATATACTCATGATGTGAAAGGTTCCTGCAATGTGCAATTTCCTTCATTTTTTTAATTACATGAACACTAAATTATCTGCTGCAAAGTTTTTCCCCTTAAAGCTTTACTCAGAAGACAGCCAAAATTAAGTATATTTTACATAATATTTATTTTTCTTCTGGCAGATTATCAGACACTGTCTTGTAAACCAGCCTTGCACTTTTTACAGTTGTGACAAATACAAATAAAGTAATTTAAGTAACCCAGAAAAGATGTCTTCCTCTTAAAAGTAATGGCAATAACAATAAAGTGATCAAACCTACATAAGCTCTATCTACCAAAACTTCCTAATTTATTTTCTCTATACATACCTTATGTGTATGCCACACACACAAAACATACATAATACTGTAATTTAATTATATTAGAAGGATCAATAAATTTGGTGTAGCAAGCCACTCAGATTGAGCAAGACCCAACTGTAGTCAGCTAAAGCATTTACTGAAACTTCACGTAAAAAAATCTGAAATTGGTCAACTAATAGGCTGGAACTCTGTAAGAAATTATCTGTAAGAAGTTATTTGTACACTGTATACTCAAGTAGAGTTTGTTCACTATTCCTGAAAATGAAATTAATTCACATTTAAAGCTCTACAAAACTGTGTCAAATGCAGTGCAATAACAGCACCTTCTTGAGCGCCAAGGAAAATTCTTACCCTATTGAAGTTGTGCTCATGAGAATCTTCCAACTGTCCATTACTAGTCACAGGAATTTCTGCTGCTGAATTTTTGGGAGACTCTTCAGCCATTGCCCCTTGCTACATTGTAGGAAAAAAAAAACAGGTTAGCATTTGCCTTATATTTACAATGAATCATCTGTATTAAAATACTTATCTACAGGTTTTGTAACAGCCGGTTTTATTTCAATGTCCCATTCTGTAATACTCTGATATACTAGGTCTGCATACATTCATTTAATCACATATCAAATCAAACTAATATTCCAGCACAGCTTAGAAGTAATTAAAAGTTTCAAGAGGCAAGAGAGAAAGAAACATTTAAATATATATATTTAAATATATATTTTTATAGCTTAAAATATCAAGGAATAAGAAACTTGAGGAAAGAAATCTTCATAACCTTAAAGCACACGGGGTCAGACACATACTTTCCATACATGCATCCTTAGACTAGTTTACCTATCTCAAACTGTAAAAAAAAAAAAACTGAACTTGGCTACACATAGTACTAATAATAATCAAGAAAGAAGTGCAATGAGTTCAAATATTTATTACAAAATAAAAATCACAATTCCAATCTTAATTAGCTTAATATGCTTCCTTTTGTAACATCACATAGTGCCACCTTCTGACTAAAAAGGCAACTCTGATACTGTAAGTTCTTGTTTCTGTATTTAACTTGCCTGCTCTTGACTGTATGATTGCAATATAAGAGCCAAAGTTAGCTTTAAAACACAGCAGTTTTATGAACAGCAGAAGCAGCTGTGAAGCCACAGCTTACGTCCAACCTAGAAGACACATTTTCAAAAGAAAAATGTGTGATATTTATGAGCATCTGAAAAGGAAACATTACTCCAGTACTCTCCAAATTAAGATAGAGAACCCAAGAATTTATCATCATAAAAAGCTATTTTTTCCCCTCAAAGAAATCAGTCCCCTCAAAAAAGTACCGCTAATTCCACAGGGTAGTTTGGTTAGTAACAATAGTGTAGTTAACACACACATGCAAAAGCAGTACTAATATTCATGTCTGAAATTGTCAACCAGCCTCTGGACCTGGCCCAAGATACACCACTGAGGTGTATTTAATAAGAATAGTTTTCTTCACTTTTGCAGAACATCCATATACATACAGAAGTTTTATTTTGTGGCACTTGATCACCTGCATCACTCTCAAAGTATCTTCCATCATATTCAGCTCCTGGTATCTCCCCTTCCCAAAGGCCATACAAGCATCATCAGTGATTTACATACTCGTTTCTGGAGTAGCTGACAGGGAACCTTCTTTTAAAGCCCTGAGGCCTCCCAAGGTTTTTTCCAAACTACTGTTTGTGAACTCCAATAAACAAGCTCTAACTCCTGATTGCTTTCAAAGCTAAGTTAACATAATAAGCATTTCTTACAAAGACTCTAATTTACTAAGACGTTTTACCTCAATTGGTCTTCTGAAACAGAACTCACTATTCAAACTTCAATATTATTTGGTATCCCTTCTAATAAAAACTTTAAAAAAAGAAAAGCAAGCCACAGCATAAAAAGAGCCACTAAAGGCTGTTTTACAGCTGAACTACCTTCACTAGTCCCCTTCTGTAGTCCTCGCTAAGAGCCATGCAGAGCTCCCCTCTCAATCACAACATGCACCTGCTACTCATCTGATTGTTGCTAATGGACACAACTCTCTAGTCCTGCATGAATCCTTCTCAGCAGATTTTAATTCTTCCCTCCCCCCAACCAGTTTCTGTGAGCAGAATCAGTCCACCATGTGGTCGGACAAGACCAAAGATAACATGAAGTAGGCAGCAGGAGAAAGAAAGTCGCATGTCCTTTACCAAGCAGCAGTAAACTTAATTTGGCTCAGCTGTAGCATGAGATTAGAGCCTGTGTTTCAGTGAAGGGTCTAAACCATCACTGCTCCCAAGAGCAGATTCTTCTGCCACCCTATTTCTATGCCCTTTGCCCCTACCTCTCCTCTGCTCCACTTCCCTCAGCCCCCAGCTCCTCCCTGCTTCACAACACAAGTTTGCAGAGCAAACAGGACTGCGGAAACACTGGAGGTGAAGAGGTCACCTACACCCAGAAAAGGGATGCAATATTCTTTACTCAAATTGGCTCTCCAAAAGAGTTCATCCCGCTGCTGCAGGATGCTTGGGCCTAAGAACAGAGGAGATGATAATGAAATCAGAAGCTGTTGGGAAAGGGCAACTGTCTTCAGGCACAGCACCAGCACTCTCTCTCTCAAAATGCTTAAACTGTAGGCTACTGCCAAAACGATTCTCCTTTCTCCTTGCCTGATCTCTACGTGCAAATTCTGCTACCTCACACAATCATGATAAGATTTTGTGTTTTGGTGGGTTAGTTTTCTCTCAGATCAGCTTGCTTATTTCTGCTATGTCAGTGACTACGATTGCTAAATAAAGCATGTTGCCCCTTTGGCAACAGCAGCTCACAGTTGCATTCAGCTAAGCACATAAGGAATATGCACCCTCAGGAAAAAAAAAATCCATCAGATGTAACCTAAAGTAAATCTACACAAGTTCTCAAATTTGTATTGAAGTACCAGATATGAATGGAGTGAGCAAGAAGAAAGAAAATAAGAAAATAATGAAGTTAGAGCTGGAAATTTTGTTTAGAGAAAGCTATTGATCCTTCAGTAACTTAATCACTGCTTTCTTAAGTGCACCACTGCTTGCATGTACTGACTGTCTACGGAGCCAGCTATTCATTTTTTTAAATAGAAAAAAAACAGAAAATAATTTATTGCACTAAACTAAAATCTTTTTATAGTTCTCTCTCTAGCTGTCACCAAAACATGCACTCTTTACCTTTCTGAAACTGCCTTCCCAATGCATTTGACTGGCTGAATATTACTGAAACCTTTTTAAGCATTTGTTCATAATGAGAAAAAGCCACAGACTCCTCCATGATGGAGTTGCAACTGCCTCCTGCCCCCTGCCCCCCCCCCCAAAAAAGATCGACCATTTCAGCAGCAGATAGAGAGTCTAGTTACAGTGAGGTCACAAAAATTGCTCTTTTTTAAGTACCAAGTCTTTCTACAGCACTTATACATCAGCTATCACTCTGCCTAAGCCTGTTCAGCTTAAAAACCTAAATAGCTCAGTGCAGCAGCAGACTACTACAGTTGACATAATCCTTTTTTATGAATTAATTGCATTGCTCTTAATCATATCTCAAAACTACCCTCCCCTCCTTTTAAGATAACTTCATAAAATAAGCTCAGTGTGCTGTGAATATCAGTGCTTATGCCAGCCTGAAGCTGCCGCTGGTGGATCTAGCACTGATAGGACCATCACCCAGTCACCTCAATCAGACTGGACCTCTTCTGCAGCTGGATGGGATTCGTCAAGGAAGGTGGGTTCAGTGCTGAGCTCTGACATAGCTGAAAACTAAATAGGTTGAGCATGCATTAATTCACATGCTAGGAGCTGGACATTGCACCTGAGGGCATCAGGGAAAAGAAAGAAAAAAAAATCTTTCATAGTTTCTGCAAAGAGAAACCTCCCTGCTTGGATGACCATCAGGTCTTTTATCTCTATGAAAACAGACTAAGGCTACAGGCATGCTCCAGCAGCACCTCCTCCAGCCAAGCAACCCTCACTACACAGGCAGCCACACTTGGGAGGTTCTTCAGTTTCACCTTATTTATGTCTCCTGCAACAATACATTGTCATCCTACCACAGGAAAGGCTGCAATTTTGTTAAGACATGAGATTTACCCAAATATTCAATGAGTTTCAATGCATGCTAAGTCACTGAAACCTAGCAAACTGTCCAATCTGATATGGACAATGAAAAACAAAATTCTTTTAATTTTATACTCTCAGTAGAAAGATTAACAAAAAACTCAGCCATGGAGACAAAGCAAGCCAATGTGCTGAATACACACACAAGAAGAACATGTCAGTGAGCGGTCATGTGGCTGTTTTTGCAGATTTAAGCTACATTAGGTACATAACCGAAATTTGATTTCAAAGGGCTGGGAATGACAGGTGATACTGCAGTTCACTCATCCATTTGTGAAGAGGAGACAACCAATCATTAAAAATTAAACAAGGACTGTCAGTGTTGACTATAATCACACATGACTTCATTAAGCCTTACACAATTGTATGTATATTCAGCCACATACCGCCCTAAGAGAAAAAAAAAAAAAAAAAAGGAAGAAAGCCCACTATTTATCTTAATATTGTTTTTCAACTTCTCATGTAATTATATCAAGTAATTAATAAAGCAAGCAACTCATATGGGGAAATAAAATAAGGAAACAAAGGATGAGAAAATGAGCCATCTAGATCACATTGCACTAGATGACCTGTTGCTGCAGTTTGGAAAAGCAAACACGTAAAACACAAGAAACTCCTCCCAACTAAGTACAACCAATTCACAGTGGTAAATTAATCAAGCAGGATTTTTATTCTACCTACTAATACAGAAATCCTTTAAATTAGTTAAGAAAGTAGCATCATCTGTGATTAAGAAAGACCAGGCAGCAGAGGCAGCTGCTCTTTCACATAGCACAGAAACTGTTTCTGGTTGAAGAGGTTTCCGAGGTTATATATTAAAAAGTACCACTATGGACTAGGAAAATAATGTTTAGCCACATAGGATATAAATCACAAGAGGTTAACTTCATTTCTTAATACAGTCATGATTAAGACAATCCAAAACTCAGTTGTATGACCTTATTGATCCCCTACTTCCATTTTTATCTCAGATACATACAGTGGCAATGATAATTAAAATTATTCAATGCTATAAACAGCAAAAATATTATTGATATTCTTAGTAATCTCAAGAATTCTTAATAACCTAGAGATGAGAGCCACCTCACAAGCACACAGAGCCTTTACGTAAAGGCAAAAAATGCATTTTTAGAAGTCCAAATTACAATCCCCTTAATTTCCTCCCCTCCTGTAATTATTTTTCCTAGAAGTTGTATGAACAGTTTCAAGATACTTATGTAAGATCAATCTGACCAATTCTAAAACACAACCATTGGAAGGCCAAGGATCAAAAGAGGCTTTTGTAGAAAACAGTAAAGTTGGTAGATCTGAGTTTAAGAGGGTCACAATAACAGTTTCCATACCCAGAACTCGGATGTAAACAAACCATCAGATTCTAAATCTAAGGACAAAAACCCCTCATGTGCATATGAACACTCCAAAGTTAAGATGCTCAGATGAAAGTTATAACGAGCATCACTTTTACAAAGCAAACACATTATTTAAAGTTCAAACACAGAAATATAGACATTTATATCCCAATAGTATTGTATTTTTCAATTGCAGGTATCAGAAAAAGGGCTATACTTCCCATCAGCTTGCTCACCTCCAGCACAGTATGAACGCTGCACTATTGATTACTGTCTCACATAAGCAGTCTGTTTCAGCACATCCTTTGCCATCTATCGCACATCACCTGCAACTACCCATTGACACTGGCCCAAAGCATTTTTTTTCCTCCAGGCACTAATTTCAAGTCCAAACTTTCACACTTTGACTTTCAGATTACACAATGTCAATTTCACAGCAGGGAAAATATATATATATTGTGTGTGTGTGTTACTGCCGTAACCAAAGAAGCCTACAAAACAGTCCCTACATCACCGCTGAGGCAGAAACAAGAACTCAACGACTTAACACATAACACATGCAAGATTGTCTGAGCAGTCACATGGAAGACAAGACATATCCACCAGCTTCCTTTTCCTCTAACTTCCAATTAATATGCATATAGATCTTTCTTTCCTTGTTCCGATATAGCCAGTAGCCACTTAAGCAGAACTAAAGCATCTGATCATGTAAAGCAGCACCCCAAGGCCTTCTGCTAAATGGCTGCAGCAGCCTGTAAGATCTCAGTCACATCTGGCTCCTCCTTCCATTCAAACGTTGCTCCACTACCCTAATGGAGCTAAATGCCAAAAGCCATTCTTGCAAATACTCATAGGGAGCAGAACACTGTGGGGGGGCAGGGGGAACACGACCACAAAACCACAACTTTCCTTTTCACCCCTTACCTTCTAAGACCATCCTGAGACTGCATGGACAGAATTCAGGTCTAAACATTTTAACTTAGGAGTTAGCAAAATAAGTTACTTCCCTCTGGGGAAGAGCCTACTTCAAAATAAATGATTGATGGGCCTGTCCTGAAGACAGAAAAGGGTAACTTCTCATCTAATCTGACGGAGATTTCTCCAGTAACAACCAAGAACGTAAATTACAAATCTGTCTGCGTTACAGACATCAACCAGCAGCACCAAGCCCAAAACACAGGCACCAAGAGGAACACTGAGCAAGTCCTATGTGGCTCTAAGAACTCGACACAGCACCCACAACTGACACAGGACCAGAGAGTTGGGGTAGGGACTGTTTTTGAAAAGGATTTTGATGGAATTTTTCCTTTCCCAGAGGAATTTTAATCTTTCTTTCACCACACTTCTTGAAAGAGCATTTCAAGCCTAGAAAGGCACTGTGACCCAAGCAGATGCTGCTTGGGGAAAAGTCTCAGCAGTTCTACTCTTTCACACTACTCCTCTGAGTCAATATCCAATTCTGCCCCGATTGACAAGGCTGTAAAGAAGGCAGATTACTTAACACACTTACAGAAAACAACCCAGAGATGTCCCATGTAGAAGAAAGTGCTTGATTTACACTGACATAAACTAAAGCCAGCAACCAAACAAGTCCTATAATGTTGCAGCCACTGCAAGTATGGATGGAAAATAACCATTTCATACATGTTTTCTTAATTTAGGGTTTTCTCATGAAGCTGTAACTCAAAGTCTTATCAAGATTAAGTGCTTTTTACAAATATTTTTAAAGCCTCCATTGCACACTTTCCACTGAAAATCACAGCAGGGCTTCCTCTTGATGCTCCTGCTGCTGAAAGGTGCAATCAACGTAAGTGGCTTTTTCGGTTGTCCTTAGGTACAGGAAGACAGAGAGAACGGGGACACACACACACACACACACACAGACACCACCACCGCCGCCGCGAACGCTCACTCTATAGAAGGAGGTTACCTCTCGCGTCACTTCTGAAATGACCACACGTACACTGCACACACACACTGCGCACACACCATACGTACTAGAGACACCGCCTCAGCTTCCACGGCGACATTCACGGGCGGGCAACCGCGCCCCAACAGCCGCAACGGTCCCAACGGCCACGCTCACCTGGCCCTGCCGG